TCCCCTTCGACTCCCCTTCCCCTCCCCTCCCCTCCCCTCCCCTTCGACTCCCCTTCCCCCTCCCCTCCCCTCCCCTCCCCCTTCGACTCCCCCTTTCCCCTTCCCCTCCCCTTGATCCCCTTGATCCCCTTCCCCTTCCCCCTTCTTCCCTCCTCTCCCCTCTCCTCCCCACCTTTTTTGAACCTCCTCCTCCCCTTTTCCTCCCTCCTGCTCCTCTCCTTCCTCCTCCCCTCTCCTCCCCTTGCTCACCCCTCCGTTGCCCCCCCTTCCTTACCCCTCCGCTGACTCCCTCCGTCATCGCTCTGGTTCGCTCCTCTCCCTCCTGCCACTTCATTTCCTCGTCCTCCGCTACGTTTGCTCGCTTCCAGTGCTCGTCCTGCTCTGTGTCATGGTGAAAATACTCCAGAGCCTCGTCACTGGACAGATCTTTGCGAAGGAGACCTGGAAGGAGGCAGCAGCTGTAGCCGCTCCTACTGTGAATGTCACTCTTCGCCGGGCAGTGCATGGCTTCTATCAGCTGCTCCTGTCCATCATCGTTCTGGGGCTCATCTGTGCTCTTGATCTCGTGTCCTGGTCCGAGAGCATCTACGACAGCCGGCGGCACATTCCAAGGCACTGCGGGCGCATGCAGCACGACCGGGAAGGGAAGGGCATTCTGCCGGATATCGCATACGGGAGGGAGAGAAGACGCTATGCCGTGGTGACGCTGCTGACGACGTCCAGCTACGTGAAGCAGGCGGAGGTGCTGGGAAAGTCACTCCTTGTCTACTCCCACCTGCCCTGCAGCGTCGACATGGTTGTGCTGATCCTGCCGAGGTCGGACGTGACCCACCAGGATGTCGAGCTGCTGTCGCAGGCGGGGTGGATGGTGGAGACCATCCCGAGGCTAGCCGCGCCCGAACGCATCAACAGCAGCACTGTGAAGCACGCGAGGTATATCCCGCTGGTCTCCAAGCTCGTCCTCTTCAACATGACCCGCTACGACGGCATGCTCTACCTTGACTCCGACACGCTGGTGCTCGGAGGCATCGCTGAGCTCTTCAGCCGCCACCTGCCGGAGATGCGGCGCCGAGGGCTGAACCTGGGATGGGTGAGGGACCAGGGCGAGCAGTTCAGGGCCCGTTCGTTCAACGCCGGCGTCATGCTCGTCGCCCCGTCCAAGCGCGTGTTCGGCCGGCTGATGCGGTTCCTGCACGAGGGAGCGTTCGAGGTCTCGTTCGCAGAGCAGGGGCTACTGAACGCTTTCTTCGGTCACCACAGCTACGAGCTGGACCAGCGATTCAACCTCCTCACCACCGTCCCGCGAGAGAATCGAACGCTCTACGAGAGTATCAAGCATGACGTGCGCATCTTTCACTCCACCTACTTCAAGCCCACCTGCTCCTTTTACCTCGTGCGATGCTTCTGGCATGGAACGCACGACTTCTGCCGCGAGTGGCAGCGGCTTGAGGCCCTGCAGGTGAAGGTCTGAGGGAGGATGCCACATCCCCTCCTCCGCCATCATCTCCATCCTCTCAGTCTTCACGGCAGCTCAGAGACCAGCTGAAGTCTGCGCTCCCAGCGATGTCCTTCTGTGTCTTCTCGCTCCAGCTGACTCATCCCTATGCCGAGCAGGCCGCATGGACAAGCATGAAGTGACCGTGCTGCAGGGAGTCGTCCTACTCAGGACCCACGTGAAGCACGCTGACGGCGCTCTTGATGCTTAATGCAGAGATGAACTTGCTCGTAGCCATCATCAAACAAGATGAAGTATGGGATCAGGATGAGAGGAAGAAGCGTAGACGATGCAGTGATCTCTCCTCAATTCTTGCATGTCGTCTCATAATTCCCGTTTTCTTATCTTCAAGCTCTCAATAAATTCTACTCCACCTTCAGGGTGATCTCGATCTAGTATTCTTCCCTTCTCCCTCCTTTCTCGATCCTTTTCGTCTTTTCCTTCCACTCTCTCCCTTACACTTGTTGTACGGCCGTGCAGTCAGTTTCATGAATTTAATCTTCACGACGGCGTTAACTACCATCTTGCTCTACAATTAGAGTCTTTCGACGAGGAACATTGAACGAGGAACATTGAGATAATGAGGAAGCAGAGGCGAAAAGTGAGCAGCTGTTGAATTAGGCTGATCAGGCGTCGAGCGTCTCACGACAAGTTTAATGAGGATGATGAAGCGGAGAGGGCAAGAGGAAGATGCTACTGTTACATGTTGCTCAGTTGCTTGCTCAGCCTAGGCCACCTGGCCATCGACCAGGTTGAGCGGAAGGGCTCTGTCGATCTGAGGGCGTGACGTCAGCGGCTCTCGCAGGAAGGAGTAAGAGAGACTCTCACCTGCTTGGGGTAGGGGAGGCCGAGGTTGTTCATGATCTCGATGAACTCCTCCTTGTTCTTCGTCAGCCTCCTGCAGTCACCATCCCCCCGTCAGCATCGCCTGCGCTTCTCTTCCGCCCACTCACGGGTTGAGGGTCTTCTCCTCGAGGACGGTGGAGTTCATCAAGCCCTTGTAGTCATGGGCTGGGTAGATGATGCACTTGTCCGGAAGAGTGAAGATCTGCGAGCTCCCGTCATCTTTCCTTCCTCCTTGCCGGACATGGTACCTTAGAGTGGACAGCATCGTAGAGTCGAGCGGCGCTGCCCTGCTGGAAGTCTGTTCGCCCGCAGCCGCGGATCAGCACGGCGTCTCCCGTGAAGCACATCACTCCGTCATTGAGCACCTGCCTCCTCCTCGTCAGCCTCCCTCCCTCCTCTCCCCCGCCGCCTCTGCTCCACTCACGTAGCTCACGCAGCCGTCGGTGTGGCCTGGGGTAGCGCGAACCTCCAGCTTGTGCTGTCCGAACTTGAGCACGTCCCCGTCGTTGATGAACATGTCCGCCTTGGCGCCAGACTTCTCGGCGATGACGGACTTCATGCCGGGGACAAGCTGCTTGAGCTTCCTGGACATCCCACGCCGTCAGCAAAGGACAAACATGGCTGAGGGAGACAAGACAGACCCGGTGCCGGTGACGTGGTCGGCGTGGCAGTGAGTGTTGATACCGTAGATGATCTTGAGGCCAAGGTCCTCGGCGAGCTTGGCGTCTCTCTCGGCAGTCTCGACCACAGGGTCGATGAGGATGGCTTCCTTGGAGGCTTCGTCTCCGAGGAGGTAGGTGTAGGTGCTGCTCTCCTTCTCGAAGAGCTGGCGGAACACGAGACCCTGAAGCATGTCGTAGTGAACAGGAGCAGAACGGGGGTAAGCTGAGAGGCAGGAAGTGAGTGGGCGAGCAGGGAGGGGGAGGGAAGCAGGAGGGAGGGGAGGGGAGGGGAGGGGAAGGATTTGTAGACGGGGGCGGAGCAAGTCATGTACTTTACAATGACTTTTAGTAAATGCGATGGGCAGAGGACCCCGCAATTTGAGGGGAAAAGGGTGGGTGGGGTGAATGACCAGATGGCCGTGGCGATGACTGCAACTTAGCGCTGTGACTTCAGTGACACGAATCGCCTGGTGACCGGGGGGGGCCGGCAATGTCGGCCGCCGCTCAGTGACCCGGCACCGGCGGGGCGGGCGCGGAGCCGTGACTGACTCAGTGAGTCGCTGCCGTACGGTCAGTGCCGCGGCGGCCGGGCCCGCCGGCCGGGCCATTGCCGCCACTCGGACTACCCCGTGACCGTACCGCCTGGCGGTGACTCTGAACTTGCCGACTCGAGTCCGGGGCCGGGGCCCAGCTCGGCCGCTGCCATCATGCATGATGCTTGGATTGCCGACGACGGTCCTCCCGGCGGATCGGGCCCCTCAGCCTTGATCGGACCGTAGGCTCTGGGGGCACTGCCGCTTGAAGCCTGGATGGAGAACACGGCATATCACCGTCCGACTGAGCCCCGCTCAGTGACTTCAATGATAGACCATCAAGGCTTCTGAGAGACTCAGTGGGATTGAAGTTGTGATGGATCGGGTTGCGAGAGGACCCTACGATATTCACCTTGAATACAAGATGACACATCATATGATACATCATCTTACATGGGCAGCTCCATGGCATCGTACACGGGTCGCCGGGAGAGCATGCGTTTCAACCTTGAAATGCAGCTGAAGAAAGACATCGGATTTGTCAGACAAGTTGCGAAGCTTTCAGGATGACGGTTGACTTTTTTGACGACGATCAGCAGTTGAGGGAGAGATGTAACATGCTAACTCGAATGGACTTCTGTCCGCAAAGACTTCTGTCCGCAAAGACTTCTGTCCGCAAAGACTTCTGTCCGCAACGACTACTGTCCGCAAAGAAACGTTGCCGGAAAGCCCAGGCTTTGAATGAGGTCCTCGTGCGGTTTATGCATTGTCCTCCTCTGCCTAGCGATGCTGCTAGTGGGCATGGTCTTTGGCAGACTGGTTTGACATGACATTTCATTTTACCTCCAATCTCTTCAACTCTCTCTTACGACTCAACAAACATAACCCGCGCCGGGTAGCGACGGCGGCAGATGCTGCAAACGTGCACTGCAACCAAGGTACAGCATCATCGCCTTCAGAATGCAATTCATGATCCCCGTCGAGATTTTCTCCCGATCGCTACCATCGACCGACGGTGCAACATACAATCATGTTGAAGGGCTCAAGCTCTTTCACCTCAACCAGCAGACGCATCGTTCCCTCAACTCCCCGTCTGGTCTACTATCTGAAGTGAGTCGGAGACAAGGGAAAAGGAAATCGGACTGCTGCCCCTCGTATGAAGGACTTAAAACTCTCTTCAGCTGGTTAAGTGCTGTGACTACTTCTCCAGTTTCCAACTCGACTGGAGCTGGACGTCCTTTACTCCCTCTCCCTCCCCTTCCTCCTTCTCCTTTCCCCTCCTCCCTCTCCCTCTCCCTTCCTCCCTCTCCCTTCCTCCCTCTCCCTTTCCCTTCTCTCTCTCCTTCCCCTCCTGCTGTATGGTCGGACAACCGATGTTCAGACCCAGTACCCCACCCCCTCACCCCCGCCTGGATGATGCAATTCACCCACCCCAGGACCCGCTTCAGACAGTCATAAGTACCCCTGGTCTTTCGAACCACAGTGGAAACAAACGACAACGGATGCAGTCAGGAAGCCACCCCCCCCCCCTCATATCAACCGCCCCCGTGATCCCCATAGAGAAAAGGGTTCTAGATGGGTTTCCAAAGTCCTCTACACCCAGATCAACTACTTGTAAATTTTTCTAGAGGCGGGGGCTGGCGCACAAAGATGTGTGGGGCACCCTTTGAA